ACGTCGTAGACACATGCACATCATGCCAATGTTGCTTTGTTAGTGATCAGACTACTTGGAAAAATATGTTTGAATAAAACATTAAAAATATTTGTTTTGTCTTTAACCAGGGAGAAGTATTTTATGTATGTTTTACATCTCCCTGGTTTTACTTTTTTCGTAGTGATTCAATATCTTACAGAAAATACACGATTATGCGTTGTTTACTTCTTGCTTCACATAGCGTACAGTACAGTACATTGTATCTAGTGAATCATGTGCTCACCAAACATGGTCTTCCTGTATGTTCTTTGTTATCGATTGGGGCTCGATGCTTGACCTGTCTGAAGACTATATAACAATGTTGTTTTTGTTAGTGACGACATGGTTAATTTGTTTGAATAAAAACATTAGGGTGTTATTTAATTTGTGATGATTGACTATCATATCCATATACTGGTAGGCCTAGAAGAAGCCTAGAAGAATATCGTCTTGATTCCTGGTAATTAAGTTTTAGCAAGGAAACCTTGCATAGGCCTAGGCCTTGTATTTAGGTCAAGTGTGTTCATTTAACAAATGATTGAGTATTTTCTAATACAGTATTACTTTTATTTGAAAATTTAACACAATGATTTAATAATTTATTTAATGATTAAACTACATACTGTGCTGTTGTAGAAAATTAAATTATGTTTAATAAAAAATAAAAAACAAAATTTTAAATTAATTTAAAGTGCCATGCTGAACTTGGGGGAATCACCGCGGCCATGCTAATATCGAGTGCTGAAAATGCAAGTTTGTTAAATATGACTGTGCATGCATTGTTTCATTTACGTAAATATATTTTTGATTTGTTTACGACGACGTATATATCCACTTCCATTAAATTGTGTAGTATTTTATGCTTGAGAAACAGAAAACAGCTTTGAATTGTAATGCACTCCATCATGTTGGAATTCAATATTTTGACAATGACATTATGTTCTGGTGTATATGTGGACTCATATATGAACAGCCAAGCTAGGCCCCCTAGCTTGGGGGTGGGAAGGGCTTGCCAGCCAGGTCCCCTATACTAAAGTTACATCACAAAGTCTAGGCTAGGCCTAGCTATACACAATGACATTAGTTAGGTAGACAGGGCCTGGTTGTAAAAAATATAATAGACAAAACACGTAGGATACGCCTTGACTTATTCCCCTAGCCAGAGAGTTAACTGGCGATCCAGCGCTAGTTCAAGAAACTAGGCCAGCATACGCTTAAACAAGAAGGCCTAGGCTTACGTATCTAGGCCTAGGCCTAGTATGGCCCAGGGAATGCAATGGTTTTGGCCGCGAATTAGGCTAGAACAGTAAGTAGTATAGTTATGTAATTCAACAACAGTTAGGTCTAGGCTACACAAGTATAAATTACTTACTTTTACTTCACTTTCTTAGGCATATGAATCTTCCTTCATTTACACTCGCTACAAGATGACGGCACTAGAATGGGCGCTTCCTTTGTGAATTCAAAACTTGAAACGGGACACCGGAACTGCCAAAGACAGCTAGTTCATTGGCTTAAGTCCGATGGTCCCATCATCGCTAGCTTCATTCACACAAA